AATTCAAGTTAACTTCCGGATTCTCTGGTTAAATTGAACCTTTCAGTCCACCTTTTTGTGGTCAATTCAATTGCCAGCAAAGTATAACTGTAAAACAGTCTCAATATAACTGAATGTTTTTGTATCATTCATTTGATTCGGAAAATAATCTCGTCTCTCTTCTTGACACATTTTTCATTATAACTTGTCATTTCAGATTCATTTCCTATCATCTAATTGAATTCCTGTGAATTTATTCATTGAAAGGTAAGAAGAAGAAAAAAAGTGTTCAAAGAAGGGAACAAAGAAAAGATTGAAACAAATGAAGTTCTTATTCAGTTTCACCTTTGAAGATTGAAGGATTCACAATTGTTAAGAGTTAATTTCCCTTTTCAACTATTAACGGTCCATTAAGACCATTAACATTGAAAGATATTGCAATTATATTGATAACAGCCTTATCAACCAGTGTAACCTTTGATATCTTCAGTCTTCCCTGTTATTCACTCCCAGAGATTGAGATTTGCCTTTTTGTTGTGAGAAGGTGAAAAGGCTGGAAACTCATTGATAATCTTTCTCCAGTTTTCTTGTTATTCAACCCACTTCCGTTTACTTTTAATGTAATAGTGTTTCAAAGGGAAATTCTGTTGATACAGCATTTTGTCAGGTCAAACATGTTAACATGTTGAGCTGACTGAGCAAACAGTTTCAAAATGATTACATTTCCAAATGTTAATTTATATTCTTAATATTGGAGCAACTTCTTCACTCCCAGTCTTCAGCAAATAAACCACTTTCATTCTCAATCAGGTTGAATCTTTCAACTGTGAAGATAACCCTGAATTAACATGGAAACAATAATCACAATAAAAGAGTGAAAACGTTTCTTTCATTAATATTACAACTTGTTCAAACCTTCACTTCAATTGCAGTAAACATTGTATTCAGAAGTTGAACATTTCACTGACAGAATGGCGAACAATCACTGGATTTTTAAAAGAAAATGTAATTAGTTGATGTTAATTATCGAATTTAGTTTTCGTTTGTGTTTTTTTATGTTCATTTTTCGATTCAATTTTGTTTCTTAACCTTTTCTGGTCATTTTTAGGCTTCCGACAACTTGTTAACCTGCTTTTTGGGTTATCAATTTTCAGATGAATAGAAGGTTTCAATGAGAACCTCATGAGAGTTCTAATCTCCATTCAATCTTAATCAGTTAAATTGCTCTCTTATTCTGATGGTTATATGGCAACTCTCTTGTTGTTGATGATGTTGATGAAGATGAAGATTAAAGAGTTTACTCAATTTCACTCTTGCTCACATCTAATGACACATTAAACACACAGTTATTAGCCACAAAAAGAGTATCTGATTCTTGTTCATTTATCATTGACTATTCATCATTGACCACTTAACTCTAATTGTATCCAACATGGCAAATTAACACGAAACATCAAGCCCACAAGTCTTATTATTAATACTTTATAATGAAAATAATCTTAAACTCGTGGATTCAATGGAAACATAAAAAAGGCCAAAAAGAGTCAAAAAAATGAACTCTTTTCTCTACATGAAAAACATTAGGATAACTTTCAGATAATGTAATATGAAGATTACCTAAAAACTAATCAAGTTAATTAAGAATGTAAGCAATTTTATTGTAAATCATCTTGAAAAGGACCGAAAATAATACAAAAAGAGGAAGTATTTGAAACCCAAAAATAGAAGTGAAAAGACAATCCCAGAAACTTTTGGGTTGAATTGGGTCATTTTATTAGTTTATTATTTTATTTTCAGGGAAATTTTCAAAATCTTTTTTCATGTAAAATCGGTTTTAATTTCCATTCCACCATTTTGATAAAAATAAGTTGAACTTTTGTCAAATTTGCTTTTTCTCGACTTCAAAGGTCAATCTAAATTATCGTTATTTTCAAGTAAAACTCATCATTTTACATTAATTTGTAATTACAAAAAATGATATCCTATACTGATGACTTTACCATCTCTTTGGAAGACATTGTTACTCATTAAGTTAAGATCCACTCTCTGGGTTTGGGTTAATCTAATGCCTTCACCATGCAAGTGAGGATGGATTCATTCTGGGAATTTCAAGTCATTTTTCGAAAATTACTTCCTATTTCATGTGAATTAACCTTCAAGAACAACAAGATCTTGAGCTTTAAGGCTTAATCTTTTCACAATTGAAAGTTATGGGTTAGAAGTTCAAGATTTAAGGCTGAAAAATATTATGATAATATTTTAGGTTGAAGTTGTTTTGGGAAAATGTTTTTTCAAAATGATATTTAAATGTGTTAAATATTTTATTTACACTTTATTGAATTTAATTATGAATCAAATAATCTAACTTGTAAGTCAATCAAGGATAATTGTTGAGGATAAATATAAGTAACTTGACTAATTGTAACTGTAAAACAATGGTGTTAATTGTTATCAGTTGACTTGAACAAAATGAAATTATGGAGTTTAATTTATGCCAGAAAAGTGTAACTGTTTCTTGTTGAATTATTTCATGAAATGCTTATGAATTTTAACCATTTTTGTTCAAGTTTCACAGTCAAATGGATAGCAATTTGTTGCAGGCAAAAACAAATCTTTTACAAGTTTCATTGATTGAAGAGTGAATTTGCTTGTAACCTTTTCATTGATGTGGCGTTGATGAGCTTTTATTTTTATCCTTTCATCATCATCATCTTCTTGTAATAAGATATTGTTCCTATTCCACCTACCTGTACTCATGAATATCATGATAAAATGAAATAAAATGAAATACAAGAAGATGAACAAGAAGGAAAAAGAATCAATCTGTTGTGCTCTGTTAAGTTTGAAATGCTATTAAAAATTGAGATGAACATCTAATAAACCATTTAATATAACAAATGTTTTTTTACATTGGTTGACAGCCATAGATATTATATAATAGATATAAAATATCTGTGAAATGATGTTTTACTTTGTTTGATTTTCAATCCAGGAATTGGAATGAGATTCTGTTAAATTACAGGGAACAATAATGTTATTAATCTTTATGGGTTGGTCGTAAAAAATTTAATCTTCAATGGTTTGATTAATGTAATTGTCGTAAAAGCTTTTTAAAGGTGAACTAAATCAATGAAAGCTTTCATCTAAATATTCAAGTGATGAGTGAAAATTACTTGGAAACATAATGCTCATTAAAAGCTGCAACAGAGATGTAACAATTAACTTACTTAGGTTAAGTATAATCTAATTTTTCCACACTGTTAACCATTACCATGTCCACTGATGCTAATGTTACCTTTAGAGATTCAATTTACTGTTGTAATCACATTGGAAATCATTGATTGTGAAAATTTGAAAAATATTATAATTTGTATAATAGGCTTTGCTTTGGGCTAAATTGTTGTAATAAGCAAATGAATTGAGTGAAAAAAGGTTTCAACAATTTGAAGGTAAAAAAAGAGTAAAAAATTGATATTTCACTTTCACTGAACAAACTAATTTGATTGTTCAATTAAACTGACTTTTTTCAATGGGAATCGGTATTTTTTATTTCTACTCAATTCGCTTGTTTTTAAACATTAATTATGTTTTCTCAATGAATCGTATGATATATTTAAGGCCAAAACAATTGTATTTAAAGGTGTTTACGGTTTTAACTGGTAATCTAAGGCTTAATCGAAGGTAACAGGTTAAAAGGTTAATATTGTTAATGTTTTAAGACAACTAGCCATCACTTTTTTGGGTTACTTTTTTATCTTTAAATGACATTCAATTGGCCTGATCATTGGTGTATATTTAAGGGGTTTTTTGCTCATTAAAAAATGATTTCAGGTCAGCTATTGGCAATGTTGAAATACTGGTTACTTTGAGTTACTCATACATTGCATTTCGTTGTTTACTAAATGTGTTTTTGTTTTTGTTGGTGAAAAAATTACTTTTTTTCCTCATCTTAAATAGCCACTGTTTACTTGGACTTTTAAGGTGTTGACAATCAATTTAGGTTATTATCAATTATCGTTTTAATTTTTCATATAAAAGTGAAAGCACTGGAGGTAAGAGTAAAATACATTGCGAGCTATTGTCAGGTTTCATTTGTCCAGTTTTATCCATTGTTTTCATTCGTTTCTTCTGCTCTTTTCAATTTAACTCAATTGTCAACTTGAATCATGAAGCTTCTTCTTATTTTATTAATTGTTTTAGTTGCTGTTACTATGATAGAGAGTCATAGGCGTCATCATAAATGCTGCCATCATCATAAACATCACCGTAAACATCATTGTGCAAAGGCTGTTCATCATCATCATTTGGTAAGTTAGATAACATTTTCAATCATTTAATATAAATAAATATCTTTCTGCCATTCTTGGTTGATTTTTAAAATGGAAACTTCTCAAGTTGACTGGTGTCAAAAATTTATCAATCAACGTTTAGACTCTTTAAGCCTGGCTCAACTTTCTTTGATATTGGTTGCCTTTCATAAAACTAAAACTCACCTGACTGATGACCGCCTACTTAAGAGAATTTTAGAAAAGGCTGACCATCACGGTCATCACTATCATGGCCATCACGAACAAAAACATAATCAACACGGTTGGGGACATGTTATGGGTATTGAAATGGGCAAACAAGCCAAAGGTTCGGCAAGTTTTAGGACAACAAGATTTGAACCGATTCCTTGGTATGTAACCTCCTCATGATCAGAATGACTGTTGATTTCAAACCAGAAATTAATTTGTTATCAAATACCAAACCATAATGGCCCCGAGTAAAGACTGTTAATTTAAACTGTAAATACAATATTATAACGACGAAGAAAATTTATTTTTACATATTCTATTTATTTACTTGTATATTGTAAATATTTAATAAATTTTTATCTTTAATTGCGCAATTAGAATTTTGTTTTCGTAATTTTTGTATGTTACTTTTCATGTTTTTATACTTTAATTGAATAATTTCAATTTACAGTTGAGCTGGCTGTCTTACGTGATTTCCAGACGATCCCTTAAAGTTGGGAACGCGCCTTACAGCTGATTATCCACATGTCTTGACACAACTTTTAGTGATGGATTTAAATTAACTTTACCAAAGCTTTATTTAATCAAAATACAACCAATTATCCATTCTTCTTTATAAATGTAGTTATTTTTTCCTGTTATTTCAATTTTCAGTGTCATGTGGCTGCAATCACTAATTTTTAATCGAAGTATATCAGAGTTTGGGCCATCGGCCTTCAGATTACTTTCGACACCATTGTTCATCAATGTCAAATTTTTTCAGAGATGCTCACAATCTTCCAAATCGGCTAATTATGTTTGGACACATATAAGACCACCAACAGAGAACCAGAAATTATTCGAGATTTTAGTTGGCAGTGAATATTCAACCAAGCCTGTTAATCCACATGTTTCTGATAATAGTGAACTTCAAATAATAAACCCATTTTTAGCTGACTCTAACTGCAGGGATCTTCTCAATAATTCTAATAGAACTGAGAATACACGTGAAGTTTATGCCAAATTCTTTGAAACAATTAAGAAAAAAGAACCTGATTGTCTCAGTAAAGTCTCAATTTTATTAAGAAAACATTTCTGTGATTTGATTCCTACCAAAGCTCCTTTTGATTCTTACTGGGATTTCGTCAAAAAGCTTGACTTGTGTCTAGTCAAATACTGTACAGGACTCAAAAAAGGTAACAAAAATTTTAGTCATGCCTGTCAACGTTTCTTATTAACATGATACTCTTATTTTCTCATTCCAGATGTTTGGTTGAAACCTAATTTCATAGACGAATGTTTACAATTAACTATCGAATTGTACAAAATTTCTCCACCTACCTCAATGGTTTACTCTGATTGTCTGGTTAAACATATTCTTGGAAAAGCACCCAATCTTACACTGGAGCAGTTCTTGAGATTAATGTTTTGTTCAATAATATCTCGTAGAAAAATGGAAACTTCTCAAGTTGACTGGTGTCAAAAATTTATCAATCAACGTTTAGACTCTTTAAGCCTGGCTCAACTTTCTTTGATATTGGTTGCCTTTCATAAAACTAAAACTCACCTGACTGATGACCGCCTACTTAAGAGAATTTTAGAAAAGGCTGGAACAGAAGCGGAATCTGAACCTGATGCAACTATTCGATCAAGTCTACTTAAAGACATGGGGACATGTTATGGGTCTTGAAATGGGCAAACAAGCCAAAGGTTCGGCAAGTTTTAGGACAACAAGATTTGAACCGATTCCTTGGTATGTAACCTCCTCATGATCAGAATGACTGTTGATTTCAAACCAGAAATTAATTTGTTATCAAATACCAAACCATAATGGCCCCGAGTAAAGACTGTTAATTTAAACTGTAAATACAATATTATAACGACGAAGAAAATTTATTTTTACATATTCTATTTATTTACTTGTATATTGTAAATATTTAATAAATTTTTATCTTTAATTGCGCAATTAGAATTTTGTTTTCGTAATTTTTGTATGTTACTTTTCATGTTTTTATACTTTAATTGAATAATTTCAATTTACAGTTGAGCTGGCTGTCTTACGTGATTTCCAGACGATCCCTTAAAGTTGGGAACGCGCCTTACAGCTGATTATCCACATGTCTTGACACAACTTTTAGTGATGGATTTAAATTAACTTTACCAAAGCTTTATTTAATCAAAATACAACCAATTATCCATTCTTCTTTATAAATGTAGTTATTTTTTCCTGTTATTTCAATTTTCAGTGTCATGTGGCTGCAATCACTAATTTTTAATCGAAGTATATCAGAGTTTGGGCCATCGGCCTTCAGATTACTTTCGACACCATTGTTCATCAATGTCAAATTTTTTCAGAGATGCTCACAATCTTCCAAATCGGCTAATTATGTTTGGACACATATAAGACCACCAACAGAGAACCAGAAATTATTCGAGATTTTAGTTGGCAGTGAATATTCAACCAAGCCTGTTAATCCACATGTTTCTGATAATAGTGAACTTCAAATAATAAACCCATTTTTAGCTGACTCTAACTGCAGGGATCTTCTCAATAATTCTAATAGAACTGAGAATACACGTGAAGTTTATGCCAAATTCTTTGAAACAATTAAGAAAAAAGAACCTGATTGTCTCAGTAAAGTCTCAATTTTATTAAGAAAACATTTCTGTGATTTGATTCCTACCAAAGCTCCTTTTGATTCTTACTGGGATTTCGTCAAAAAGCTTGACTTGTGTCTAGTCAAATACTGTACAGGACTCAAAAAAGGTAACAAAAATTTTAGTCATGCCTGTCAACGTTTCTTATTAACATGATACTCTTATTTTCTCATTCCAGATGTTTGGTTGAAACCTAATTTCATAGACGAATGTTTACAATTAACTATCGAATTGTACAAAATTTCTCCACCTACCTCAATGGTTTACTCTGATTGTCTGGTTAAACATATTCTTGGAAAAGCACCCAATCTTACACTGGAGCAGTTCTTGAGATTAATGTTTTGTTCAATAATATCTCGTAGAAAAATGGAAACTTCTCAAGTTGACTGGTGTCAAAAATTTATCAATCAACGTTTAGACTCTTTAAGCCTGGCTCAACTTTCTTTGATATTGGTTGCCTTTCATAAAACTAAAACTCACCTGACTGATGACCGCCTACTTAAGAGAATTTTAGAAAAGGCTGGAACAGAAGCGGAATCTGAACCTGATGCAACTATTCGATCAAGTCTACTTAAAGGAATTAATTATTCTCTGGTCATGCCCGATAACAATTTATCCAGTCGATTTGTCAATTCATTTCTTCGTTTACGCAATCTTACTGTGTATAATTATATGCATTTGTGTGAGTTCTGTGTAAACAAAAAGTTTTACTGTCCTGAACTGATTGACTCATCCTTAACTGTTATGGGAAAAGCGATAGAACATTTGAGAGAAAAGGACGTAGAAAGGATTTTAAAATGTGCCACCGCATTCGATCATCTCCAGCCTCCTTGTCCTGATCTTGACAAATTGATTCATCAAGTAGACTCATCGTGTATTCATTCTGACCCAGCTGAGCTGGAAAAAACTATCCCTTCATTATTGCGCAGCACTTTCCTTCTTGATATCTACCCACCAAATATGATTGATTTTATTTTATCGACAAATTGGAGTGCGAAATTGAATTTTTGTAAGATTCGTTTAATTTTTATTGCTTCATATTTAAATATTCTAGCATCCAGATTCCTAATAATGACTGGCTTAACTTTGTCTAAAATGATTTTTTTACATTTCTCTCAAATTGTTAGATGGACATGATATTCATTTGTTTTATTGGTTATTGATGACAATCAGGGACTGCCTTATGATCGACAAATATCCAGAGTATGTTGGAAGATTAAACAACTTGGATACAGTCTACTTAAAAGGGAGTAGAAACCCTCATTTAAGAACATCAGCCAACCAAATAATTAACCAAAATTCAGGAAAAAGCAGCATGAATAATAGGAACTTCGGTCTTTTGTACAGAGCAGCGATGGACGCTTTTCCTAATCAAATCGTTCGTCTAGGTTATTTATTGTCAACATCTTTAATACCTGATTTAATAGTAACACCAGTCCAGAAGCATTTACGTCTATTAGAAGGTCCAATCAGAACTCCGAACTGCTTTATCAAAGCACATGTTCTGGTTTATCAAACCAAACAGATGTATATTGATCGAAATTATACTCAAATTTCCGGACATTACAGGCTAAGAGAAAGATTGTTACAAAAATTAGGAGTATCTGTGATAAATATACCTTTTTATGAAATGTATCACAAAACTGATGACGATGGTGGTAATAGTGATCTGGTAGATTACATTAGAAGACGTATACAAGAAGTTGAATCATAAATTAAATATGACTCTTATGGAATTTAATTCATTTTTGTTCGTTATTTCCACCAAGATACAAGTCCTAAACCTGATTCTTCAAATGAACCCTGTAAAAGAGATGGTATAATTAGAAGCCAGCTAATTTAATTTAAATATTTTTAGATTACTTTAATTAAATAGGGTATCCGACGCTGTCGCTCCGTTGCAGGTTTATCTACTGATCCTGAAGGTTGGTAGATATCTTGGTTAGTGGATGTTGGACCTGGTGGTGATGTGTCGGTGAAAACTTCTTCTTTCACTTTGAACCGTACAGTTTCCCCAATGTCCATAAATAAATTGCTCTTTTCTCCGCAATTATCATATTCCCAGATCCAAACTTGTTCTTTCTCATCGCTATAAAAATGGCAAAAAGAGAGGAAGAGATGGGAAAATCAATCTAATGACGAAAAAGTCGAATAAATTAAAGCTTGTGAAGAGAAAGATTGATAAAATCAATTTCACGCAACACATCTCACATTCTCGAAGTGATTAATTGAACAATTAAAAAACAGGTGTATGCAATGAAAGGAAACTCATTTATATTGGATAAATCGAAGTTACTTACAATCGAGAGGGTTCAGGTAAACAATATGGAGGAATAATTATATCGTCAAAAAAACCTAATGAAACATGAACACCTTCACGTGAACAACTTCTCAATTTTCCAACAAGAACTTCACCAATAAACGGACGGAACACAAGAAACCTGAAATGAACTAAAACAATACAATGAAAGAGATATTAAAAATATTAAATATCTCAGAGTAATCATAAAATATTAAAACTTAATCATCAAGAAAGTTTTGCAGGAAATTGCAGCACATGTATAATTATGGACTCTTGTCAGAAACAGAGAAATTAATCACAATTAACTGAAAGAGTGAGTTAAATTACAAACCTTTCGTGTGTGTTCCAGAATCTCCTTGGTAGATGAATGATTCATTAACACTCAAAATATCAAATAATGTGATACCCAGGCCGACATCAATAATTACTCGATTGGCCATTTTTCTATTGAGTTGATCAGCAATTGCTTGATCCAATGGAATGTTGAAGAAACTTGCAGGTACTCTGATAGTGTCTTTTAACTCAATTAATTGAAACATTTTACTCTAATAAACTGAACCGAAAATTCTTTAAACCGTGTGGTACTAAACACTTACATGTGGTAATTTGGCCAATGTTTGTAAACACAACTTTTAAACCATGATTATTACTGAGAGCATCAAAGCGCCATCTTGCGCTGCCGCCATATTTGATTCATAGATTGCAATATTCAACATTTGATCAATAAAACCATAAGAATATTTTAAATATTTTAATGTAAATATCAATTATATCTGTGATTGTGTTTGACTTTTTTTATTTAATAATGGTTCATAGTGGTCGCCCAATCTACAGATGAATATTTGCATACATTTTTGTGCAGCAAAGAGGTATGTCTCGTCAAAATTGATTCAAATCACTTGAACCAAATGTTATTTTTTTGAAAGAGCACAATAGGTGCAACTTAAAAATGGGCTCTGAAAACGTTTACTTTTGAACACAATCTTGCTCGAAAGTAGAACTTCTTTCGTCAAAGTATTTTTGTTATGAATAGTTAGCAACTCACTCTATTTGAAAACGCTACTAACGCAATGAAATCTATTTCAATGACTCTCCTTTTGATAACTTTCATTTTCGTAAGTATCAGTATGATGAATAAAAAGTCTATTTGAAATTATTTTAAAGATACTAAATAACTTTATGCATCCATTTAACCATGGCATTATACAAGCTTGAGAACAACCATTTTATCAAAACAATCAAGTCTTTCACGTTACACCAAAGCCAGACCCAAAATTACTAGACAACCAAGAAAGTAATTTGAGTAATAAAAGCATTGAAATATACGATATAATTATTGTACCAAAAACTTTATTCACTCATCGAAGCCACATTACAATTAATAAACATTGATCAACTGTTCATCGACTCTGGTTACCATCCGAAATCGAATTGGTCAGCCGTATCCTCGGTTATCTTCAATGGAAATATCACCACTTTTGAATCTTGAAAAACAATTGATCACTGCTTTTAGTGTTAACACTTCATGTCCAAAGACGCTGGTCACTTTTTCAAAAGTTTCGAGTGGACTTGTCTCTAATTGAAATTCATAAATCAAAACACTTCTGACAACTCTTGAATCGATTGACATTTTAAACACAATGAGAAGAGGTTAAGCAAGAAGCTTAACGAGACTGTATTGATCAGAAAAAAAAAGATTTCATACTCATCAGTGAAGTTGAGTCAGTTCATGATAATTAATCGACTCCCACCAAAGAGTAATAAACTTGTTTATTCTTTCAATCCCACGCTTATCCCATTTCTAATTGCTTTCATTTAATTGTTATCTAATCGTATGCTAACTCCTCAAATTACTTCCTTTCGTTACCTAGTACTGATTGTAAGCAATACTCTTTGATTGCAAGTGTAATCAATTTGATGGATTTGTTTAAACATTTACTAGAAATAATTTGGTTGAACTGTTGTGCTTTTGTTTGGTTCAACATTTATTTGATAGTCCAAATGATACTAAAAACAACTTTATTACTTTCAGTTTAGCATGGAATTAACAGTTTCCAGTTATCAATATTGAAATTCAAACATTGAAAACGGCTATAAATATGGATTTGATTACAAAGATGATTATATTCAGAATCATGTTTCCTCACCATAACAATCAGTATACAAGAACTCTTTACTCTATTGAATCAAACTAATTGGGATTCAAAAACGCTCATTTAACAAGATTCGTCGCCGTCAAGGTGCGCTTCAGCCACTGTCTTCTCCTCTTCAATTGCCGTTGACCTTTTATCCAAATCTCACAAAAAAAACTTGCGTCGAAAATCTTTTTTTTACATTAGACCTGTATTTTCCGTTCTGGTTAACATGATTTTGGACAAGAGCAGCTTTATAATTTATACAGTAATTCAATAGCTAAGGACACTGAATTTCAATGAAAGCCAAAAAGTTAGCGATCATCAAATGGAATCAAGTTGAATGTACTCTTGAATACAATAACACAACATTTAACCAAGATCATGGTTGAATCTTTTGTTATGTTTTCAGTTCGAGACAATTCAAGTTGAGCTACTTGGTTACAAGGAAAATTGAAATCTATTAAAGTCTAATCGATGGTTGCATCTTTAGCATCATGTAACAAAACATCTTGACCTTATTGTCTTGGAGCAAAAACCATTGGTCAAATGTTCTAAAATGCCACAGAAATTAATTTTTTGTTGTTGAATTTATTCAGATTTAACTGACTGCTCAAAATCTAAATTCAACATTAATAGCATTTAAATTTAAACTTGCAAATTTTTGATCTTATATTGTTATGTATTGACATCAGCAATGTAATACAAAAATGCATCCTGACGACCCTAGTATTTAAAGAGAGCTAAAAAAGTCCGAGCCATCATTTAGTGTCTTTAGAGAGAGCATATAAAGAGCTTTCAATTTGAGCATTTTCGTCTTAATAACTTCACTCATTGTCGAAATAAAACTTGACAAAAGTTTACTTTCATCACTCTTGTTGTAGCTAGAGTGTCCTCTATCGAGGCTTACTCTGCTCCTGCGACTAAATGCTATGGAACAATTGTTTTGTTTTGTTCATCCAATACAAATTGTTCCTTAATTAAGCTAAAAAAGTTTGTTCCTTGTTCTTGTGACATGAACAAGTACAATTAATTTCACCTTCGAACGGAACAATACAAAGCTGATAAAGTATGCGACAACTTCCCATTCATTCATTAACTTGGAAACCTTCATACCATCGAGTCCATTCACATACACCTTTTTACAGTTTTTGTTGGCTTTTAGTTTTTTTTCATTCGTCATTCCACCTCGAATTGAACAAAGCTTAAACATTAGAAGCGAACCTTAAACCTGCAATCATATCAATTTATCAATTTAATAGCCTTTATAATTTGTCACTCAACTTTTTTCGCATCTGTTCGCAACTGGACTGGTCAACTTTTTCAAAGTCAAGTACAGATTGAAATTCAAAATTATTATGAACCTTGGTACTTAATCGCCAAATATAAGTGATTTTAAGATTTCCACATGTGGAGTGTTACAGTTAAAATTTTCAAGCTATCAATTAAACCAATATTTAATAGGTAAAATGATGGATATTTTTGGGTAGGAATTATCTTTAATCAAATCTGATATAAAAAAATTATGTGTTAAAAAAGATGTTGTTCATTCTGATTGTGTTTTGTTTTTACATTGAATTTCCTTCCCATTGCTAAATATTAAGTCAATCTTCAATTAGGTTGAATGTACAATGAGAAGCATTTTTAATTACAATGAAAAACAAGTAAAAAATTGACTTCTTAATTATAGTCCAAGCTGATCTATTTAATCATTAAAGGAAAATTTTTTCAAATTAATCAGTTTTTTCGTGGATTTGTAAAATTGTATGTTTATTGTTGCTTGCTTAGCAGTTCACAATTAAATTGGTTTTGCCTGATTTTTTTCTGGTGCTCTTAAAATCAATTCATGGAAATGGTTAACCATTTCTTGTAGCTGATTGAGTCTGTAATGTCTGGATATTAATTAGATAGTTGAGATTTAAAGTGATTCAATAGGCGGTGTTTTTTAATCAAATATCCACCTTCTACTTGTAATACTAACAATCAAATTGAAATCAATTTTAGTGGCAAAACATTGAATTGTTTATAAGTTGTGATTGATCGTCCATTTGCTTCAGTGTAACTGATTAAGTGTAAAGTGTAAACATAAACAATTGAACCCAAGCCATAAGCCATTGGATTACTTAAGTTGCTATTTGATTTGTGGTGAATAAACCAAAATCCGTGACAAAATGAAAATTGCCATTCCATTGGTGCTGATAGTGCTTCAATATTGTCATTTAAGTTTAACAACTGGTGTGTCAAACAAAGATGATAAAAATACCTTAACTGCCTCCGAATCTCATAAAGATGAATCTTATGTTGAATTAATGAAGATGGATATCATTCCTCAGTTTGTGCATGGATGGGGACATCATGGTTGGGGTCATGAAAAGAAATGCAAAGAAGATCATGGATGGGGTCATGGAGGACACGGTAAGTTTAAATAAATAAATAACCTTTCGATATTAAGCTATCATAAACTAACGGTTTGTTGTTATTCACAGGTCATGGATGGGGTGGCCACGGAGGCCACGGGCATGGTCATGATTGGGGCTGGGGTGGCTGGGGTCACGGTGGAGGCCATGGAGGTGGACATGGTAAAAAGTGTGGACATGATCACGGTTGGGGCTGGGGTGGTCATGGAAGTGGTCACGGAGGTGATCATGGCTGGGGTTGGGGTGGACATGGACATGGACATGATAAGAAATGCGGACACGATCATGGTTGGGGATGGGGTCATGGAGGAGGTCACGGCGGTGGTCATGGCTGGGGCTGGGGCTGGGCTTGATCCAAGTCGATGTGATTCCTTGTACTCTATGTAAAAAACCTTGTATGTGAAAATTGTAAAAAGTATTCATTCCATATTTATTGAAGTTAATAATGAAATCAATAAAATTGACTCTCTAACACAGAGACTAAAATATTGAAATTGACAAACTTTTCTAACTTATCAACTTTTATTGTGTTCATGAAATGACGTTGACACTGTTATTTTTAGACCTTTTCACTGAAATTTCAGTAAATATTCAGTATCATTTCTCAACATTTACTAATGTCACAATCCATTTTCAGCTACTTCTTTGTGAAATCATAGCTATAAAAATGTTAATCATATTAGAAGTAATTTCAACAGTTTTCAGTTCTACTTTTGTAAATCTTAATTTATCATATTTTGAGCTATTTATTTTCAAATGAAGCCTCATAAATTACATAATTTTATTCTAGCCTTGTATTAAATCAATCGCAACTCAAACTTCTCTGATACACTTTTGTTAAAACTTTGAAAATTGTTTATTTATGATTTTCAGCTACTAAACCTAAAAATAATGTATATAATGAGCAATAAATTATTACTAATAATTTAGGAGAACAGTTAAAGTTGCTTCACATTTGAAGGATTATCATTTGAAAGGATAAATGTATTGACAGTTAAACGTAACACTGATTAAATGTGATTTTCTATTGCCTTTCATCTGCTTTTTAAATTATAATTCTGTAAAAATTTTAATTTCGGAGAAATTAGATTTGAGTAGAAATCGCAAATTGGACTACTCAATAGGCTATATACCTAGTTTTGATATACTGTGTTTTCACACTTATTTTTCATATTTGTGTATCGGCTAGCAAAAGGTTTTCTTTACTGTCTATCCCTTGCTACCTAAGTGTTTTACCTGTCCTGGCAAGCCTATCAAGGAATCCAACGGGGAAGGAAGGATGAAATAGTCCAGAGCTCTGGGTAAGTGAAACTGTGTTCACCCAAAAATCAGGACTTGTCTAGACACTGAAGTTAGTGGATGAAATTTCGACTAAGTCGACTCAATAAAACAGTGTCAAAAAACAACTCATTTTGTCTCTGACAAGGATGTGAGAGGCTGAGCAAAATCATAAATTCGTTGAATTTTTGTATTTTTTAAAAGAAAGACTGAAAACAGTGAAAGTTAGTTTACGCAGTCGACTTATAGTCAGTCAGTCGATGCAAGTATCGGCTAACTTCGGTGTCTAGACTTGTCAAATTGAAACGCTAACCCCAAGATACAGAATACGGCATATGAAGATTAGCAGTATTATCGTAAGTGCTAAGCATCAGGATACACTTATTTTGACAAAAAATCAGATTTATTTATTGATATCAAAGTTATAGCCCGAGCATAATTTAAATAATACTACTGTCGAGTACCCGGTTAAAGCAATCTTTTTTTCTCAGTCTCCATCTAGTGATAATGCCTTTCAGAAAGTGGCAGCGCTTAAGATTTAGGTAATGAAAGGATTCTATAAATTATAAAAGCAATGTAAATTTTCAAAAAATCCTAGATGGCGACTGTGAAAATTGCTTTAAATGGGTCTCAAAAAAATTGCTTTAACCGGGTACTCGACAGTATTTGCAATGTAATAACGTTTTTTTGTCAAAACAAGTGTGAAAATTTGCTGTAGCAAAGAGTAACTTGATATGAAAGGTACAGACATTTCACTATTAAGTTATGTACAAATAATTTAATGAACTGATCTTTATAATTGAATTACAGAAAAATAATCATTTATCTACAATATTAGTCTAATAAATAGCAAATAGAATCAGCTTAACCAGCAATAAATACATTAGGTTGTAGGAAGTTGTCGATAGATGAGAGGAATTGAATCAACGCCAGCCACCTTCATGATGATGATCGTGTCCGTGGTGATGATCGTGCCCATGATCATGGCCGTGATTATGACCGTGATCATGTTTATGATGGTGGTCCTTGTATTTGTGGTGATGGTAATGATGTTCCTCTTCACATTTGCAATGATGATGATGAAGTGGTTTTATCTCAAAGCTAAATTGGGAAGAAAATAATCAAATGGATTAAGACAATTGCATTGTTAAATTTGTGGTGATTAATCTTACTTGAATGGTAAAGGCTTGGATGAACTGAGCATTGAGTCAAGAGCCGAAGAAAAGAGGAAGGAAGATTGGAAGGTAAAGAAGCAAACAAGAAATAGAAAAGTTAATTTCATGTTGAAGTTTATCTCGGATTACAGTTCCAAATGCTGTTGATGTTTGATATTACTAGTTTGAATGTTATCTGACTTCTGATCTTTTAATCGCGAGTTCAACTGCTTTTATATAGATGAAGATTGAATAAGATTACTTGATTAGAGAATAAAGATCAAATTATTGGCCTTCAATGAATAAAAAAAGAGACTGAATAAATAATCCAAAAATCAAGATCAAATTGTCGATGAATTTAGTTTACACAAAAGGCAGAGTTTAATTATGACACATTAAATGGTGAGCCCTAAGTTCAATACTTGATAGATAACAATTAAGATCGACAAATTGTTTAAGTTTAACCATTTAAGGAATCAAAGAATTATCAAAGAGGATCAAAGTGTTTAGGCAAGTTTAAACAATTGGCTAAAGTGACAAGGTTGAAAAAGCCTGACTAAATTGTTGTACCGTTAAATTGGAGTGAAAAAGAGGATTAAATAAGTGATAGGTTAGGTGAATGAAAGTAAATAATTACTGTAAATTACAGTTGTTCACAAATTTCATCTGCTTAACAACTATTTACGAGAAAAAAAGAAAATCATGGACATATACTTGAAAGAATTTGAAAGAAAAACTCTTTTTTCTATCGACTTTCTTCTCACTTCTGATTTTTTCATTCCCTTCGACTCTTACATTACAAGCCTGAATTTTGTTTTTTAAAGCTTCCCTGACATTCATTTTTTACCTGTTAGTAGCATTGGAATGAGTTTTTTGAAAATTCAAGTTGAATTTTGAAATGGTGAGAGGTCAGGTTATCAAAGTATGAAACGATATTTACAAAAACTCTTTTTTTATTTCAAATATAAGCGAAAAAAGTAAATTTATCACTTTTATCCAGACAAATTAAAAATTGAAGACTAGTCTATTAATGATTAATAATTAATAATAACAAACCAAAATTAGAGCTTTAATAGTTGTAATTCAATTCTTGAGGATTAAAGAATTTATTAGGTGTTTAGAAGTTAGCAGTTAATTTTGGGATTCCGCTGATGATTTAAGGCTTGAGGTTCGAATTGATTAGACTGGTTGTCCAATCAAAGTCCAATGATGTTTAGCCACAGTACAAGCATATCGAACAATCCTTTTGCGATCATCTAGGACGCTCTTAAGGGAATGTAGAACCAAAGGTCGATAAGGAAGCAGTGTAATTTCATTAATTGTTTTGGCAATAGTGGTAAGACAATCAAGGGATTTACGTCTTATCTCAAGGTAGGGTGAAGCTTTTGAAAGCTCTAGAAGACGATTTATGATTCCAGAAATATTTCGAATCAGTGTTACTGAATGAGCTTCTACCATATGATTCAGGCAATCTAAGGCAGTCATCTGATTCGCTGGAGCATTGCTTTCTTCCAGATTGAAGATGGTCAATGATTGAAATTTGTTGATTTCATCTCGGATAACTGTTTTGGGTAGATTTTTCAGATGATTGAGAAGACAAAGAGCATAAGATCGTTTTCTCCACTCTGTTGATTCGTTGTAACCTTTCAACAAGGGCTGACAAGTTTCGTAGAAATATTTTTGCGTATAGAAAGGTGATATATTGAAGCCATTTTTATGGTTGTAATAATTAAAATCTTGGTGAAAAGGCACGAAGTTTTTAGCAATAGTTGAAACTATCAATTCATCATTTTGATTTTGCATTAGGTTTAAAAGTTGGTTGGTGAAAAAATTTGAAAATTCACCTCCTCTGATGACTAGACCACGGTTGCATGAAATTATAATTCGGATGGATGGAGTAAGCGTTGCAGTGTCTTGAAGAAATTGATTCAATTGAGTGTCTAGAAAATCAGTCAGATTAACCAATCCTTGGTCAGTTGATTTATTGAGGATCACTTCGATAATAACAGCTAGAGAGTCTATAAGTTGATTTGCGTCAGGTGAGAGGATATGCCTCAGTATACTTTGTATGAGATCAATCCAGGAAAATGAAAAATCTATCGATGAATTACAGATTATACATTCAATTACTTTAGACAGATTAGTTGGTGGAGTTGATGATGCAAATGAAGATGGCGATGAATCTTGACTCGGTTGCATAGTCCTCAATGAGTTGAGAAAATTTTCAAAGATACAGATTTTACAAGATGACGATGTTAATTGAAGAATTTTGCTGACTATTTCATTAAGATTTTCATCAATCAGTTCATGATCCAATTTTAGGATTGGACTCAAAATAGATTTGGAAAAAATCTCAAGGTTTGATGAGTTAATTATTTGACAGGTGCATTCCGCGAAAGATTTCTTAACCTTTTTTACCAAAGCTGCAAGAAAAAATAGGAAAATGTAAGAATATTATTGTTTACTTTTCAAAAATATTCAAAATACCTGTATCAGCCTGCGATTGATAAAACAATTGAACGGCAAGATTAGCTATCTTTTTAGAGCTATCTTCCGCAAGTTGGTTTGCTTGTAAGCAGCATTTCAATGCTTCAGATAATCTTAAAAGCCTTTCCAGATCATCATTTGTCAAATCACATGAGTCTAAATAAATATAAATAAATAGAATGAGAACATGATATAAATTAAATACAAGTAAAAAACTTTACCAGGTAATTTTCCAAGCAAATTTTGAGTTATTTCCTTCTGGCATGAATCTGGATATTTAGCACTAAATTCCGAAAGTAAATCTCTAATTTTATTCCTGGAAAGAGAAAATTGATTAGAAATTATGCTAATAGACTATATCAATAATATATCAAAACAAACCTTAATCTATCATCTGAAGAGGAAGGCTCACTGAGTGTTAAAAATAAAAGACCATGAGCTAGGGCTTGCTCTTCATGGGATTCCCATTTGAAAGGACACTGAACGAAATTGTAGAGACATTCAACCGCAATAAGTCGTATGTGATTTTCATGCGAGTCAAAAAGTGAAAGTAGGTGGGTAAGAAGTATCTCTTGATCTGGAATCCGTGGAAAAAGATCATTGGACTGAACAGTTTTCCATGAACGAAAAAGATGGTTGAATCCTTCCAAAAATTCTCGGGGTTCACTAGAATGATCAAATATGACATTTTTCATCAAAATCGGCAAAACATGTGAACCAATTTTTTTCATATAATAATCACAACAGGCACTAATGGTTGCAAGAAACTGAATAGCTGTTCCAAAAAGTTTGAGAGAAAGCTTATTTAGTGCCCCATCCAGGTCACCTAGCACCTCTTTGAGAAATTTATCTGATAACTCAGGTGAATTTTTGATTGAAAGAAGAACGGTAATCATAGCTTGGGTAGCCTTTTCAGAAATTTTGTTTACATTTATTCTCAAAATGTCGAAACGTATGGCTGACCAAATTGAGCCAAGAAACGATGAAACTGCTTTTCCATAAACAGGAGTACAACTAATGATCATGTCATATGCATCGAGTTTAGCACTTTCCACATCTGATTCGAGTTTTTCAACAAAAAGTAGATATGCAAACGGAGCAAAAGATGAACTGGCCATAAAGCACTTTTTCAAAGCCTCGTGAAGATCATCTCTGGTGATTTGAATCCCTTTTTCTTTAGTCTGCAAAGAAGAAAATATTCTGAAATAAGGAGATTGAATCAAGAGTAAGAGTTAGAAAAATATAATCAACAAAAGTAAAACCTTACAGGATTGTAAACAATCGGAAAATAACAGCTGACGATAGCAAATATCTCTTCTTCTAAATGTCCTAGAGATAAACTACTGACTACTTTGTTGAATAAATCAAAACACAAAAGAAGACATCGAGGGTCGCGTTCTCCTTCCATAATTTGAATGAAACCATATAAAAAATCATTGTTGATTGACTTAAATGCTTCCAGATGCGATGAGAATAGACTACCGATTAATTGGTAAATTATAAATCTCTCTTGAATAGGTAACTGTTGATTGGCAACTTCTCTATGGATAGCTGTAAAAATGCTTATCGCTTGCTTATTCGAGATCGGAAAGAATCTTGAAAGATGAAGCAATGATTTAGCAATGATCGGAATAAACGAATGGTGATCACTTAACCGAGAGATCAAATATTCAGTTAGATATTCGGTTTCTATTTCTCCCAAACTTCCAGGACTGAGTAATTCAATGTAACCTGCAAGAGTTTCGATTCCTTTGGTTCTTTCATCTAGATTGGGTGATGTTAAAGCTGTTCCATGGCTAAGAATAAAATTTTCCAAGCTTGATTCATTTAAAAGACTCTCATTAAGTGCCCTTACTAACTCTGAACGAGTATCCGTCATCCTAACAGAATTAAATCAAATTCAACTGGTTTAAAGAAAGTGCACACAAAAACAACAAAACATAACATTTGTTCAAAACATTTGAAAACATCTGAAAAAATAGTGAGCCTAGAAATCTGTTTCCGGAAAAATGCCAAGGAGACACTCCTTCCATCTTAAGAGTTACCGCGTATTTCAAAGAAACAGTTTTTACTATCTCTTAATTAGTTTCATAATTATATCCAATCAAAACAACTGTAATTATTGCATAAGCTGTTGAGCAAGATTACAATTAACAATCAATGATTGCTAAAATATCTTGATAAAAATAAAAAATCTTTTTTGAAATATGCGGTACTCTCTAAATTAGAGGGCGCTTTTAAATCTCCTTGGTTTTTGCTGGGGAAACGGAAATGAGAAAGAAACTAACTTTAGTGGTTAGCATTTTCTTATAAACGTGCACTCTTTAACACGTTACTGGATGCTTAGTTTCTTTTAAGTAATTTAATTTAATTTAATTTTGTTAGGATGAGTCATCGTAAGTTTTCAGCTCCCCGTCATGGGCACATGGGATTCGCTCCTAAAAAGCGAAGCCGAAGACACCGAGGTCGAATTGGTGCTTTTCCCAAAGATGACCCATCTAAACCTATTCATCTTACGGCCTTTATTGGTTATAAAGCCGGTATGACCCACATTGTTCGTGAAGTCGACAAACCTGGTTCAAGTAAGTACTTATAGTTTTATCTTATTTTGTTCCGATTACTCAAATACCATCTTTACTCGTTTGCTGATCAACAGAGGTTAACAAGAAAGAGGTAGTCGAAGCAGTTACTATCTTGGAGGCCCCACCAATGGTTATTGTTGGTTTGGTGGGTTACATTGATACTCCACGTGGCCTGAGAACTTTCAAGACTATCTTCTCTGAACATTTAAGTGAAGATTGTAGGCGAAGATTCTACAAGAATTGGTTGGTATTGGTGAATAATTTCAAGAGATGGGGGCATTACTTGTTCGCTTAAAGACTCCGCTTGGTATTAGTTTATCTGATTACCAATGAGTCCATTTGACATGAGTTATGTCTCCTCTCTTGAGCTTTATAGCTTCAAGATGAGACATACTAATGATAATTTTTACTCTACAGGCACAAGTGTAAGAAAAAGGCTTTCACTAAATATGCCAAAAAATGGCAAGACGAAGACGGTAAAAAAGCTCTTGATAAAGACTTTGCTCGAATCAAGAAATACTGTACCGTTATTAGAGTAATCGCTCACACTCAGATGAAGCTCATGAAGAAACGACAGAAGAAAGCTCACATCATGGAGATTCAAATCAATGGTGGAACTGTACCTGAGAAAGTTGAATGGGCTAGACAACACTTTGAAAAACCAATTCCCATTAGTCAAGTTTTCGCTCAAAGTGAAATGATTGATGTTATTGGTGTTACCAAGGGTAAGGGTACTGCAGGTGTCACTAGCCGATGGCATACCAAGAAACTTCCAAGGAAAACACACAAAGGTCTTAGGAAGGTTGCCTGTATCGGTGCTTGGCATCCAAGTCGTGTCCAATACACGGTCGCTCGTGCTGGACAGAAAGGTTATCATCATAGAACTGAAATCAATAAGAAGATCTATCGAATGGGTAAAGGTGTTCATGTTAAAGATGGTGAAACAATCAAAAACAATGCCGCAACTGAATACGACACTACCAACAAGACCATCACTCCAATGGTATGTATCATTTATTATATGAACTTTTCATTCTTATTCTATGATGATTCTATATGTGTATAATTTTGTACATCTGATTAATGACGATATCATTAGGGCGGTCTGAAAGATTTTTGTTCTTAAAATTTTATTTTTATTCGAAAATATACTAATCGGCCATTTCTTATTTCTTTAGGGTGGTTTCCCCCATTATGGTGAAGTAAACTGTGACTACATCATGATTAAGGGTTGTGTAATGGGTCCTAAAAAGCGAGTTATTACACTTAGAAAGGTAAGCCATGCTGGTTTTTTATTTTTATTTATTTTTCCCAATGATGATAAACTTAGAGCCAATCCAATGAATGCGATCATGATATTTCAATGATAGGACTGATTATGGACTATTCTAAACATTGGACATTTTTATTTTCATCTATTAATCATAATTCTTTTCTATTTTAGTCTCTCCTGGTACACACCAAACGAGCTGCTCTTGAGGAAATCAAACTCAAGTTTATCGATACATCATCTAAATTCGGTCATGGTAGATTCCAAACTCATGCTGAGAAGAAGGCTTTCATGGTTAGTTTTATTTACATTTTTTTCTTTCAAGCTTGTCCACTGAATTCTTTATTAATCTCCACTCTTTATTTACTCTCTAGGGTCCATTGAAAAAAGATCGACTCCGGGAAGTTGAAGGAAAGTAAAAACCACGATGTATCTTTGATTAGAATTTTGCATTCTAAAATAAATGAATTAAAACACAAATTTTATTTTCTTACATCCTTTCATTTTTAATCAATTAAAATTCAATCAATTTTATTACTTCAACTCAATCCTTGAATTGGTTTATTGTAACCAAATTATGAGTAAGTTGACAATGAGATTTCTTAGAGATCAGACCTGAAAATTGGCTTGTTCATTATAACTGTCCATTGGTAATACAGGATCATTTTTTAATTGAGAAGCCATAGATTCAATCTCTTGCAGGTTTTTAGCTGATGTTTCAAATTTATGACTTATCAATCGGCGATAGAAATGCACAGCGAATCCAATAAAGATAATAAAAATTGGTATCAAAAGAAGAGTCGCGGCAAGAGCTGCTTTGTGTCCAGTGTTTCCCTGGTTTACACCGAAGTCCCAGAACTTAACCCAACACAAGATAGCTATTTCAATAAGAAACAAAAAGATCCCAAGAACTGTTGAACATGTCCACGCAATTTCAATATAATGATTGAGCTTTTCATGTGGAGATTCACTAACTTTGCCGATTCCATTTATCGTACAGACCACTTCTAGGTGAGGTAAAATGCAAGTCGATATCATTAACGCAAGCATATGCATAGAAACAAGTAAGACAGTACAAATAGCAAATGATATAAGTAGTCCAAAAGGAATTGGATTCTTTGAATCAGGATTCAATTGCACTTCCACCATAGCTATCTGAAGATTTCGAAGATATTTCATGAGAGAGAAGAGAGGAAGAATGAGAATATTTTGTATTATTTTTTTGATTGTACTTCCTCATAAAGAATTCAAGGTTTCATATGAAAAAACAGATTTCTAGAAAAATTACCATAGCAAATCCAGATAATAATGCCGATGTCCTTTGAGAAGCCTTTAATTTAGCTCGACTGAGATGTAATCGTCGCCATGAAAGGGAATTCACATGGTCTTGTCGTGACATTTCCTTGGCGTTATATTTGGTACAGAGATCACTGAGAAAGTTGGCTGTTAGAGAGTCCAAATTTTCCATTACTATTTGAGCTACTTTGATCACTTTTTAGCTCTTCGTTAGATCCAAATTTTGTTCAGTCACCGAGCAGAACAGGTTCCCAGCACGTTCAATATTGTTGATTGTCCACATTAAAAACAAATTAACTTAATAAAATCACAGTTTATTAATCTAAATGAAATAAATTGTGATAAATGAATTTTTAAAGATGTTGAAGAAATAAATTAGAACAAGTAGAACACAATTTGTTACAGTGAAATGAATAAACGGTTGCACAAGAATGCTCAGGATGAGATTTACATTATGAGATAACAATAAAAATAAGAATTGATCAAATTGACTAAATGGTATAATTGGTCAAACAATTTCCATTGGAGATTCAAATCTTCAAAGATTAAGGTTGATGGTGGGAACTTTTGTTAAGAAAATGATTAACTAGACAATGAATTAAAAACAAAAGATTTCCGTAAAAATGCAGCAAAAAAATTGTACACCAAGATGAAAACTTGAGCTCAACATTTGTAGTCAATCAGATGTTTCAATAAATAGTATAAAATCAGCATGTAAAAGTTCTTAAAATCTTAAGACACAAAGATTTATAAATATAAATAAGTAGGAAAATAAATTGATTAGATAATGTATCACTGGTCAAAAAAGATGAATGCTGAAAATTGGTTGAGCAAAGCCTTACAGAATTGCCTTCTGAATTAAATGATTAGACGGCCCCTTAACCAGATGTAATATTTGCTGTGATGTATTTCATGAAAATTATTGAATAATCAGTTTATGGGCTATAAAAATGGAATAATGTTCCAATAAAACATTTTAATCGACACTTTGTGCTTAATCAGTGTACTTAAGCATAATATGATATCAAATAAGTCATCATTTTCACTTGACATTGTTGGTTTATTGGGTTAACCATACGTTTATTTCACCTCAAACCAATTGGTTCAGTTAATCTTTGATAAGAAATGGAGCTCAGTTTCATCTATTAATATTATCTATTATTTGCATTAATGCATTAATTTTTTTACTTTGTTTGCTTGTTAATGATATTTCTTTTCTATCATAAAAAGCTTGTGCCACTACAAAACTTATCAAATTTACAAACATCAGTGTGTATTTATGTGAATTACCTGTCAATTTTTATCATAATTTGTCCCTTCTTATATCAAACTGTTGATTTTCATTTCTATTATTTGCGTAGATTTATCTGAAGAGACCATCTACTGAGCTGATGAACATTGATTCCTTTCAATCAGGCAATGATGTTGAGCCTGTCAAGCTTGTCAGCGCAATGACGATTAAATTTAGTGAAGTCAAATTCAATCTATCAAACCCATTCATCACCATAATGATCCTTCACGAGAGATCTAGTAATCATCAAAATAATTAAAAATGACCAAAATCCTGTGTTGATGTTGGATATTGCAACAGAACTTTACCTCTATTCTTCTATCGATTCTTAATCGTTACCAGCAACAAGTTAAACATTATACTCAAGCTAAAGAACTCTTTAATTTGTCAATTATACCATAAACTTCCGCTATCTAGATTTAAAGGATATATTTCTGAATTTATCTGTAATGATTTACAAGTCATGCCATGAACTGGAATTTAATTACATCAAATCTGGCAAAGAGACGTCTCTATAAGTTCTTGGAATATCACTTTTCTGTAGGCAGATTAGATGCTGATTGATTGGATTTCAATCTAAATACTGTGGCTCGCCAAAATGGATGAATGGTTAAGGAGGTAGAGATTTTTCTCAGCGAAAAACAACGGTGCTAAAGACTCTAACAATAATTTGTCAGCTAGGAAAGGGCTTATGATGGCTTTCGAGTCCAGGCTCTTCAAACAGATCCTTACATTGTTAGACTCACTGCTAAAGGTGTCTATCTGATGGTCTCCGATGGGTCAAAATTCATAATATCTTACAATGTGTCACAGATTTTACAATGGATTCAAGTATGAGAGCTTGATATACGATTAATGGGCTGAAAACAATTTTTTTATATATTGTATCATTTAAATTGCGAAAAATCGATTTCAAGGAAATTTTGGTTCAAAGTGATACTCCATATAATGGTTTATAACAATGATCATGTACAGTTTATCAATTCGCTGACTTTTGCTTGAAGGATAAGGAATTGAATCATTGATTAAGGAAACAGTTGATTAGTCTAGAGAATTTCTCGTGATTTAGTAACTATTAACACTATGATAATGATTATGCAAAGAACAATTGGTTGCTATAGAGAAGAGGAAAATGTTTCAAGGAGAGTGAATAATACGTGGGAAAATGAGGTTTATTTAACACCATAAATTGATATCTGATGAGTTATTAAATATTGATTAAACACAAGACTTAATAAACACATTGCTATGATACTGTCGAGTACCCGGTTAAAGCAATTTTTTTGAGACCCATTTAAAGCAATTTTCACAGTCGCCATCTAGGATTTTTTGAAAATTTACATTGCTTTTATAATTTATAGAATCCTTTCATTACCTAAATCTTAAGCGCTGCCACTTTCTGAAAGGCATTATCACTAGATGGAGACTGAGAAAAAAAGATTGCTTTAACCGGGTACTCGACAGTATAACCTGTTTTTACTTGCGCTTGTCCCAAATAATAATGATTAGAGTGTTTGAATTTACCGGTTAATTCAAGAGCCGGTTACAAGGCGGGTCAGTCGATAACAAAATAAAAATTACATCATATAATTGTCCTCATAAACTGGAAGCAATGAGGTGAATCATTGAAACTATTTATAACACTTTAATGGTACTACAATAAAGCACCAAAACAAAAATATCAATAGAGAGAAACACTTGTAACCAGAGAATATTCGTAACACATGAAAAAGATAGTTCCGAGTCAAAGAGAAAACAAAATTACATTGCTCCAAAGTTTTCCATGATTCTGGTGGAATTGGAGAAATTTAAAAGCTGAAAGTCAGTTCGGTTCAATAGTAAATCATGAGTGATCTCATTAAATTCAATCATTTGTTTGACATCTTAATAGAAAAGTGAAATGCAAGGGATGAGAGGATAAACTGTTGTTTCCTATTGACAATGCTCATTGCACTTGGCAGTGTGTTATGGCAACATATTGGAAAAGACTTAGATTTATTAAAGTGAAGGAGATGATAAAAAATCTAATTTAACTGTTGAACGCGAAATTAATCATTTTAAATTGGTTAAATTAATGTTACTTTAGATAGAATAGGAAAAAAAATTCTATCATTAAGACTGACTGTTACATGTCAGCGGCCCCCAAGCAAAAAGGAAGGGGAGTGGTAAATGTTTTTGGGCAACCCACAAGTTGAAATATTTTTTTGTAGCTGTATTCATTTTTTCATGAATATCAAAATTTGATAACACAATTTTGTTTGTTTCTAATCATCCAGTTTCTTCTATTTATTCTGTTTTTTTCTTTTCCTTTTCTTTTTTCTTTTTTCTTTTCTTCTTTTTCTTAGTCTTCTTTCTGCTCTTCAGTTCTTTCTCTTAACATCTAACAGCAACATACTTTTGTTAATTTTGATCCTATTCTATAAGGTGGTGGTGGACAACGATGGCTTCCTCAATTTGTATCAATAGTGATAATAATGGTGGTCCTTTACCTGGTGATGTTGATATGGGATCCAGTGAAACACCTATTGGACAGAGGTTAGCCATATTGGAGAAACAGTTGGTGATTGAGCTTAAGGTTAAAGAGGGTGCAGAAAAGTTATTGCAAATGTACACCAGTGGATCTTCGAAAGATAAAAAATTACTAGCTGAAGCTCAGTTAATGTTAAGTGATGCCAAAGAGAAAATTGAATATATCAAAATGATGGTGAATCGAGTAAAACATAAACAAGACTTGGAAAATATTGCTAAAGGTGAAAATAATGGCTCTTCTGGGGTTGTTGGATCCAAAAACTATGGAAGTTCACGAAGTGGAAGTTTAAGTCTACTCGACTCTCTGTCACCTTTAGAAATACGCATTGAAGAATTAAGGCACCGACTGAAGGTTGAATGTGCCATCGTTGACGGAGCTCGAAATGTGATCAAATTATATCAAAGCTCCAAATTAACAGACCGTAAAGCTTTACAAGAAGCTCAATCTAACCTACTGGAATCAAGTCAAAAAATTGATCTTCTACGGAAAGCCTTAGAAGTATGTCGATCACAATTACCTCCTGGGTCACCTAAATCAGCTTTACTCAAAGCTGACTTAGAGAATAGTCAATCTGTTACACCATCAGTATATTCTCCAACCATCCAAACCTTTAAATGTACAGATGATCTCGTTAATTCAACATCACCAGCCATCATATCTAAGCCTGCTGCTGTTACCGGTACCTTAGAAGTCCGGTTAATTGGGTGCCAAGGCCTTTTGGAAGATATACCAGGTCGATCACCCAAGAATAACTCCACTCCCGGTGATTTGAGAAGTTTAGTTCGTGCAACAAGTAAAGGCCTTAGCTTAAGTTCATCAAGATCCTATAGTGTTAAAGATGAAACCTGCAACGAAGTCATGGCTATACTTAAATTAGATAATGTCACCGTGGGTCAGACAAGTTGGAAAGCTTGCAGCCAGATGGCTTGGGACATGAGATTCTCTTTTAACTTGGATCGATCTCGAGAGTTAGAAATACAAATTTATTGGCGCGATTGGCGCTCTTTGTGTGCTGTTAAATTTGTTCGTTTGGAAGACTTTGTAGAAGAAGTTCGCCATGGAATGGCCTTACCCTTGGAACCTCAAGGAATCCTTTTTGTTGAAATTAAATTTATTGATCCTATGATTTCACGAAAACCTAAATTACAACGTCAAAAATTGTTCCGTCACAAAGATAAGAACATACTCCGTCCAAATCAAATGAATATCAATGTGGCCACATGGGGTCGATTGATTAAACGAGCTTTACCACAAGCATCATCTGAAACTAACTTAGCATCGAGTTCATTTTCATCTTCATCTAGAGTAACAGCATCAACCGCAGCTATTGATAAAGCAGCTAACTTACCTAGCTCACAAGGAATAATCTCTCCTACAAATGAAACTTCAGCATCAATATCGTCATTCAATGTACCATCAATATTACCAACACAGGCAACTATTATATCATCATCTTCATCATCAGCATCATCCTCATCTACTACTACACCAATTACACCTTCCGCTACATCTCACGCTACAACAATTATGACACCACCCCCCATTCAACCCATTAATGAGTCTCGTTATAAACAAGAATCAGCTGACCATAATAAGGCCCGTAGTCAGATTAAACCAAGCCTATCCAATGATTCACAAATTAACTCAACCCTGGAAAGTTTTGACTTCCTCAATGAGTGTAATGTCAATGATACCCTTCGACAATCCAAGCAAATAGTCACTACACCAGGATCAAATGAGGCTACACCGTCACCTCCTGCTTTCAGTGATTTACAACGAGCCAGCATTCATAGTATAGATGAGAATGAAATTGCTCGACTTAAATTAAGATACTCTCCTGGACCTGAGCCTATTATTGATTTAGCTGGAGAAGAAAGTCCTCCAAAAACAGTTACATCTGAATCTTATAAAACAGGAAAGCGGATGACAATAAATGACTTTGAATTCATTAGTGTTTTAGGAAGAGGTCATTTTGGAAAGGTAAGGATGTACACTTGCTGTTTCAATATCAGAATATTTACTTTTTAATCAATGGCTATGCTGCAGAAATGATTTAATTATTTTTTACGTTAATTTTGTTGTTTCATAAAAGTTGTTGAATTATTGAAATTTGAAGACAGACAAATGATTTCGACCATTGTTTTCAATAAATTTCAATCCCTTCTATCAAAATATTGCAAACTCAAAGATAAATCACAATTAGTTGAAGAAACCTTGAAGACTATCAAATGCCAATTTCTGATCGACCTGCTTAAAAATAAGTTAGTTAGGCTTCCATCATTATCTTTTCGCTTATTCTAGTCTTGTTCATGTCTTTCAAAACTTTTTCATTCTCTTGTTATTCATTTTTTTCACCCTATTATTATTATTCTTTTATCCTTTAAAATTATGTGATTACGTTTGATTATTTAATACATTAAATGGATTAAGGAAATCTATTCCAATGCTTTACAATCGATTAGATTTATTAAAAGCTTCCAGTCGCATATGAGAAATATTGCAAACTCAGCCTAAAAATTTTAAAGTAAAAACGCAATCCTTGAAATTATCTTTATTGACATCATATTTTGATGATTTACTATTAAAAACGGAACAAGAAGATGAAGTTATTATAATAGAATAGCAATAATAACGGAAACATTTACCATCTTAAATTAAGGATTTTTCAACCTTTTTGTTACTCAAGTTTTCTCATTTTGATCTTATGAACTTTACCATGCTGATGTTGTGACTTTACTCATAAAACATATCTGAATTCATCTAAATGTTAAAAGCGTGAGACTTGAAAAAATTGCTAGATATCAAGGTTATACTGATTTATCTTTCTCTTCCTGCATCTTCTTTGCATACTAACCGGCAAAGAAATGTAAAATTGACCGAAGGTTACTCAGGTTCTTACCTTTTTCAGAGTAACCATGCAATCTAAATTTTTGCACTTATTATACAAACTATGATCTGATTTTGTGTTTTACCTTTCTTTCACCTGCGTCTCTCAACATTACCTCTTATCATGTTTTTAATATATTTTTGTTTTCTTTTTCTCCTTTTCAGGTTATTTTAAGCAGGTACAAACCTACTAGAGAATATTATGCCTTAAAAGCCCTTAAAAAGGGTGATGTGATAGCTCGAGATGAAATTGAAAGTCTTATGGCCGAGAAAAGGATACTCGAAGTAGCCACAAAAACTCGCCATCCCTTTCTTATTAATCTATTTGCATGTTTCCAGACCAGTCTTCATGTTTGTTTTGTTATGGAATACGCTTGTGGAGGCGATCTCATGCTTCATATTCATCAAGACATTTTTTCGGAGCCTCGGGCAACATTTTATGCTGCTTGTATTGTACTTGGCCTTCAATTTTTACACGAAAACAAGATTATCTACAGGTTAGAAGGAATATTATTAGTTATCTTTTAATAACAATAATAATGAACGTAAAAAAATATACAAAATGAAACTAGTTAAAAGTTAAAATTACTGGTAACACTTTATTTTCATTATTATTATTACTGTTATTATTAAGGTAAAAAGCAACTGTCTAAGCTGGTTGCAGTAATTATGTGCAAAGCAAAGTTTGTTGACCGGGTTTCTATTCCCCTTCATTCAAACTATTTCCTTTCTTATATTTTTATAGTTACAAAGCAATCCGTTACAAACTAAATGTTTACAACTGTATGCAATGAGCAAATGTTTCAACGACAATTTTTAGAGTGCAACCTTGTTAGTTCATCAGCTGATGTATTTATACAAATAGACAAATACAAATTGAATTTAGGATAACCAACAGTCAAATGATGCAGATGATAAAAATGCTAATTGAAAGCATGACAAAGTCTAATTATATACAATGACAGATTAGTGATAATTATTAGCTTTGCAACTTAACAAACTTTGCTTTCTTCGATTGATTATGTTTCCTAATTGATTTTTTTTAACATTTTTCTTTTTATTTCATCCCTTACAGAGATCTCAAATTGGATAATCTTTTACTCGATGCACAAGGTTATGTTAAAATTGCTGATTTTGGCCTTTGTAAGGAAGGAATCGGCTTTGGAGACAGAACCGGAACATTCTGTGGTACACCCGAATTTCTCGCTCCTGAAGTTTTGACTGATAATTCCTACACTAGAGCAGTAGATTGGTGGGGATTAGGAGTTCTTATATTTGAAATGTTGATCGGAGAGGTAAATTAGCCAATCTAAAGGTTTAATATCAATCTTTTGAATTTCTTTATTTAATGTCCATTTTTTATCTTTTTTCAGTCTCCGTTTCCAGGCGATGATGAGGAGGAAGTTTTCGATAGCATAGTCAATGAAGAAGTTCGATATCCACGATGTTTATCAACTGAATCAGTAGCCATTATGAAAAGACTTTTAAGAAAAAATCCAGACAGAAGACTTGGATCGAGTGAACGAGACGCTGAAGATGTTAAAAAACAATCTTTCTTCCGGCATATCAACTGGGAGGACCTTCTCGCTCGTAAAGTTAAACCTCCATTTGTGCCCACTATCAAATCACTAGATGACGTTAGCAATTTTGACAACGAATTTACTTCTGAAAAACCCGTCTTAAGTCCACCAAAAGATCTTCGATTCATACCAAGGCTTGATGACCAATTATTCAAAGATTTTGATTACAGTACGATAAGTTAGGCTGTACAATTTTTGTTAAAAAAAAGTTTTTTACTGCATCTAAAAGCTTTTTATTACATTTCACTTTAAATTCAAAAATGCACAATGTATAAAAAATTTTCGTTCCAAACCCTTGCAAACTAATTGTCGTTAATCAAAAAAACCAAGCTCTATATCTTTCAACGTTTTAAATTACGAAGAGTAAATACGAAAACAATTTAAAGATGAATTCGGCTATAAATTAACACTCCTTTTCATATTACATTATAAGCGACTTAATTTTTTTTACCTTAATGCTTATTTTGATTTTGTGATCTGATTTTGATGGACTACTTAAAAAATTTGTAGTCAAACTAAATGATGTAAAGGTTTTCGAGATTAGCAATTATTTCTCACAATTTCCTAGTTAATAGTCATTTTCATATTAAATTTTGATCAATATTTGTTAACGAAAATTAATCATTCGATTCATCAACCAATTTTTGAAACAATCATGATCAATCCTTTGAATGAATGTGATTTATTCCAAGAGAATGATCAAGCTAAGATGAAGAAACCTTATTTCTAATCATCAATAAATGCTTTTTGCCTGTTATGCCTTAAATTATTCAGATATCTATCAACATTGACACTTAAACGTAAAGTTCTCGTTCTTAAGTGTTTTTAAAAATAAGTTCGTTCATTATGCAAGTAATATGCTGCATTATTTTGTCAATAAACATAAAAAAATTAAAATAATTTTAATTCAAAAAAATGTGTTTCTTATTTCACAAATGGCTCAATAGTTTGCTCAACATTTCACTAGTAAATTCAAAAAAGGCGCTTTTAGTTTGTAAAGGCTCTTAGGCTCCACCTACTCAGTTCATATGCTTTGAGTTTAGTTTCCGTTTCCTCACCAACATACACTCTATTTTTCTTCGGGTTTTGATTGCTAATTTAATTTAATTATCTAAGTTTAAAATGGTACGTAGCTGTTATTTAATTGTGTCTTCATCTAATTACCTACTCAATTGCCATGTCTTAATCTTTCTTTTATCTAATCATTCATTCTTTATTCCAGGGTTTTGTTAAAATTGTTAAAAACAAGGCTTACTTCAAGAGGTACCAAGTCAAATTCCGAAGGAGACGAGGTTAGTTGATTTCTCAGTGAATTTCATTTATTTCATTTATTATTTCAATTTATCCCTATTCATACCTTAGAAATCCTTTCTCCACATTGCTTTAACCAATCATTTGCCTTTTAATTTCAGAGGGTAAAACCGACTACTATGCACGAAAACGTTTGATTTGGCAAGACAAAAATAAATACAACACTCCTAAATATCGAATGATTGTTAGAATAACCAACAAAGATATTATTTGTCAAATAGCTTATTCTAAAATTGAAGGAGATTATGTTGTATGTTCAGCTTATTCTCATGAATTACCCAAATTTGGAGTTAAAGTTGGTTTGACCAATTATGCTGCTGCATACTGTACCGGTCTTCTTCTCGCTCGTAGGGTAAGTTTGTAAATTTATTTCTACTTTTCACAGTTCTTTCGATAATCTGACTTCCTTTCTTTTTCAGATGCTTAAAAAGTTCAGACTGGACTCAATTTATGCAGGTAGCGAAGAAGTAACTGGAGAAATGTTCAATGTTGAAGACATTGATGGCAAACCCGGAGCCTTCAGAGCATTCTTAGATGTAGGTCTTGCTCGAACATCTACTGGGTCAAGAATCTTTGGTGCTATGAAAGGAGCAGTTGATGGTGGAATTGATATCCCACACAGTGAGAAACGATTCCCAGGTTACAATGCTGAATCAAAAGAGTTAGACGCTGAGGTTCACCGTAAACACATTATGGGTACACACGTTGCTGATTATATGCGTAGTCTTATGGAAGAAGATGAAGAAGCATTCAAGAAACAATTTTCTCGATATTCTAAGCTCGGAATCACTGCTGATGAGGTGAATGTCCTTTTATATCTTCATTTTCCCTTTGTTTATAGCTTTTATTTCATTCTAAACTTGTTTCTTCTTTTTTTACTCAATTCTAGATCGAAGAAATGTACACTAAAGCACATGCATCTATCCGTGCTAACCCAGACCCTGAACCACCTAAAGCTAAGACTACAGAAGGTAAAAAGAAGAGATGGAACAAGCCCAAGCAAACTCTTGCTGCTCGCAGAAATAAGATTGCCCAAAAGAAGAAAGCTGTTGTTGCAAAATTGGAGGCTGAAGCAGCCGCTTGATTTAATTAGTTTCCAATTTATAACCTGGTTTAAATAAAGATATGTCTAAACAATCAGATTGGTCCAATTATTATTTAACTAAATATCGCTTTCAAATTAACACTTTGAAGAGTCGCGCAACAAATTAATAACCTTCATTAATGTTGTAACTCAATTTATTGTTGTTTCATTGTATTAGGATTTTGATACTTTAACAATATCCAATCAACCAAATTTAAATATTTGAAAGCTTTCAATCTAATTGTATTTCCTGTGTTAATGAGGCTGAAAAATTGATTGATTCAATTGATCTATTTCTGTTGGTGATACAAATTGGTATAAAGCTCTTTGTTTGAATAGTAATCTCAAAGTTAAAGATGGGTGAAAAAGGAATTACGAATGATGATTAAAAGCCAATTTTATCGACATTATCAAGATAAATTAACGAAATGTTAATGATAAGGAAGAAAGATGAAGCGATGATAAAAAATTGGAAGACCATTTTGTATGTTATATTTACTTTATGAAGTAATTTTTGTAGAACGATTTGCAAATAAAATGATATAAATTATAATACAGATATTGTGGTGAAATGAGAGAGAAAACGCGTTTCAGATTGACAATTGCTAATCAAAAAGTAGGTAAGTAAATAATAAAATTAATTAGTTATAGAGGGAGGGAATAGTGTGAGAGAGAGAGAGAGAGAAGAGAAGAGACTGAAAAAGAATGAGAGAGAAAAAAGGAGGAGAAGAAGAAGAAGAAGCAGAAGAAGATAAAGAAGAAAAAAAAACTGAAAATCCCTATTATAATAAGTTGATAGAATTTATATTTTATCAGTGAAAATTGCGATAAAATAAATAATTTGAATCATTTTCATTGAATCAGGTAGGGCACTAGGTTAAGGATCAATGAACTTTGCGATTTTAACAAACATGGTGAAGTTTATTAATTTAATTTGATCTCTTGATTGTAAATCCATCTGAACCTAACCTGTTTTAAAAGTAAGTCTTTTTCAAGCCACTCTAACTAACCTGTTCTTACCTGTCCCGAATCTTTTTTTTTCTTCTCCTTCTTTTCTCTCTCTTTCTCTTCCTTCACTACCGATCTCTCTCTCTCTTTCTCTCTCTCATCATCATTCTCATCTTGGTCATCCTCATCATCTTCTTTTTCTTTTTCTTCTTCTTTTTTTCTTTCTTCTTTCTTCTTCTTCTTAAACTTTCTTCCAAACGATTTGGTTTACTTTCCCTCTCAACATTCATCATCACCATCAACATCACTTTCACCATTCTTATAATACTTTTTCACTTAGTCATTTCCATTTCCCAATTGAAAGTTAATTATGTTCTGGAGTTGATCAACAATAAAAATCCTTGTTCTCATCATCATCGTCTTTACCATCAAAGTGTTTAATCCCTTTTCTTTGGCTACAAACGACTGAAAATCCCTTGAAAACCATGGATATATCCATGTTAATATCATTTTCCGATCAACAAATCTCCGACATCTCAACTTCGTGTAATCATCTAATGATTGATCTTAATTATATAACTGATTATGGTAAGTTTAATGAAAGCCAAAGTTAACCATTTAACCAACCTGTAATCGTCCCTGTAATCACACTTTCCACCAATACGCGTTGATCCTTCATCATCATCTCCATCCTTCATCTCCTCTCATCATTCATCATCTTTCTCTATCCATTTCTTTATTCTTACCTTTTTCACCTTTTCCCACTTTTTACCTTTAAATTGTCAGTCAATAATGAAAGGCAACTCTTTGATGCCATTTAATGCGCAATTAATTGATTCGCCTTTTCGTTTCTTCCAGTTATTTCCAAATTTTTGCAAAACTCATCGATCTCTTTCTCATCTTGCAATCAAACCGTCTCATCTGAAGATGGAATTGATCTCAAAGCCTACATTTACCTGTAAGTTACCCTCAAAATTTCCAATCATTTCAATAAAGAATCAGACAGTTGAACGACTTTTCAATTTTCCATCCAAATACAAGAAAATATTGTCAAACATTGACCGATAAATTTAAAGTCTTGATCATTCTCATGATTAGAATTGGGGAAAAAAGCATTTGAATGAAACTGAAAAGTCGTGAAATTACTGATGAACAAATTATGAACAAATGATGAAACAAAATGCAAAGATTGAAACAAAGCACAAGTAAAGAACTCAAGTTTGAAATGTTTGACCTTTCCTTACCTTTTCTTGCCCTTACACGTTGACCCTTTATTTTGGCGCAAAATTTTACGCTAATTTCATCATGACCATAACCCTATACCTGTACCTATATGGTCAGTAAAAACGTCTCTCAGTGTTTAGCCTTTTATTGACCTTTGTTGCCATCTTGCTCGTCATCTCTTAACTCTTTTCAAATCAGCTTCTACTGGTCACTTGACAGGTCAAACAACTTGTAAAGCTCTAGAATATGTTGCATATTTTGTGTTTTGTTTTCACAAAAGTATTCAACTCTCAACCTAATAATTAAGAATGCCGAGTAAAAATAGAAAAAAAACAATTTTTGATGAGAAACAAATACAGGTAAAAACTGGAGGTAAACAAAATTTTAAAGAAAAGGCTTTTGACTGAGCTTCAAATTTGATGCAAAATGTAGACTAAAAGAGGAGCCGAAATTTACCTTAAAACTTAGAGAAACAACAATTTCTTCTGTTGTTGGTCCATCGGAAGTCGCCAGTTTGCTTTCTTCATTCATACAAAACTGACCCATAGGCCATACTCAAGTTAAGGTCAATGACATATCACAATGACCCATCAACCGAGAGCAATACATTTGGTCATTAACTCTCTCCTTCTCTTCTTTGACCTTCTTAAACCTTTTCATCTCGACTATTCCAGTTAACAAAAATATATTGACCTTTACCTTAGCCCTTACCTTGCTCCTGGTCAAGACTGACCATCCTTTTGGAATGTCCTTTCCACAGTTATTATCGATAAGAATATTTCTTTTGTTACATTTTTTCTTCTTCTCTTCATCATTCATCTTTACCTTTTACCTAAACACAGTAGTTGGTCTCATTATCATCACTTTACCTTTCAAGGTCATTTCCGTTAACCTTTACTAGTGACCAATCCCATGTTAGAGAAGGTGGAGTTATAAAGGGTCAAAGTTTTGATATAGGTAACACAGGGTAAAGGTCAGCATGAATGGTTTGTGTGGATAGGAAAAAAGGATAACAATTGAAATGGAGAAAAAAGTAAAGAATGAAAAGAAGAAAAAATCAATTTCGAAATGTTAGAGGCCAACAAAAAGAACGCAAGGTTAATGACTGACCAAGAGAAGCGACCAATAGTCAAAGAGAGAAGGGTCAAGTGTACACTGAATGAAAGCGAAGTTCAAATGTAACATTTAGATGAATGTTGAATGAAGCCAATGTTTCACAATAAACAGTTTGATCAATTTTTTTGTTACAACTTTACCTTTCAACTTTAAAAGCTGATCAAACAAACTCTGAGTAACAAACGAACCAAGAAATGAACGAAATGTTTATTATTAGAACCAAATGAGACTCGATTCACAAAAAAACACAAAGAAAGCAAACAACTGCGTCTTTTCATTTTCTGGTGACATTGTTGAGAGTCGCCACATTTTTCAAACTGAGTCAAACCAAGTTGATCACTTGGCACTTGTTTGGACTTGAATGGACACTCTAAGTACACCGATCAATATTAAGTCAACTTGTTTGCTCAATCAGGTAAAACAATGGCCTTTTGAACCTTCGTCTCTTTTGCTTCGTCCAACTGGTAACATCACTTTTAGCTTTGACTTCATTTTTGTGCTTATTTTTGTTTTTTCAGTTTTCCTTTTCATTTTCATTTCCATTTCTTTTTTTCATTTTTTGTTTTATTTTTTTCTCATTTACAGATCTTTTATTTTATTAATTTTATGCCTTGTTTTTGGGGCAACAATTTATGATTACAACAGTAGTGAGTCTGAAACAAATGAAGACAATTGTAACACCAATTTAAATCTAATGAAAGGCCAATGTTCATCCATTGTCAGCCTGGACTCGGTTCCATCGGTTGACAACAATGTTGACTCGGATGAACCTTTGGTTAGACGAGTTAACCTTTTTAAGTCAATTGTATTAGCTTTTTCAGCCAAACAAAATATTAATTTAATCCTCGATACAAACAATAATCACAGTAGCAACCCTAGTAATCATAATAATTATCAAATTAGGAACCATTTTAATAACAATAACAATGGTAAAAGTGACAATTATCACAATGAAAGTTCAAATAGAAACAGAAGTGATGATAATGCAAATAATAATACAATAAGCAGCAACATTATTGGTGATGAGAATGGCATCAATAATGGTAACAATAATAATAATGTTAACGGCAACATCAATGATAATGTTAATGTTAATAGCGATGATAATACAAATAGTGATATGAATAATGGTAATCGTTATTCAGAGAAGCAAATTTCATCAATTCATGGTCTCAAAGTTATCTCAATGTTTTGGATTATTGGTGGTCATTCATATTCATTTGCCATGCAATGGCTTTTCTTTCAAAACTCACAAGACATTGAATACGATTCCAAAATGATAATCAGCCAAATATATGCCAATACCAATTTTTCAGTCGATTGTTTCTTCTTTACAAGGTAAATTCATTTTCCATTTTTTGCTTTTCGTTTCTTCCAATTGTCCAAAACTAACAATTCTTTATTCATTGCCTTTAAGTGGTCTTCTAGTTGGCTATGCTGTGTTCAAAGAGCTTCGTCGTTTCGGTCGATTAAATTATTTTCAATTCTATCTTCATCGATACATTCGAATGACGCCTTTAATGATGATCATCATCGGCTTTTGTGTTACTCTCCTCAAGTACATGGGGTCAGGACCAACCTGGGTCGAATCAACAACCATGTTCGATAAATGGTGCCAAAACAATTGGTGGATCAATTCACTTTACCTTCACAACTTTATCAACCGGGAAAACATGGTAAGTCCTTTGCATCGAGTTTTCATTGGCTTTTCAGTTCATAGAATCTGAAAATAAAACTAAATTTTGCACAAAAATTATGTTGAAAAGCGAAATTCAATCAAATTCATGGATGGAAGAAATTTAGATGATTTCATGATCAGAAAAGAAAATTTTTATAAACAAAACAATTTTCCAATTACTAGCGTGAAACAACGTAATTACCAGTTGAAAGAGCTCAGCATTTTGTTTAGATATCAGAAGCTCATATTTCCATATTTCCGATGAAAGGAGACAAAAAAGTCTTTTCTGAAAATGAGATAATTTTTCATCGCCAGAATTCAGTTTTGTTTGTGTTCATACAACATTGCTTCATGAAACAAGAAAAGCAAATCGGTTGAGCAAATTCCAAGGAATGAGATATTAGCTCTTAAGTTTAGGATGATATTTTCTGAATTGATTGAACCGCTTTTGATGATGGAAATTATATAAACTGATTCTGATAGAGAAATTGACCAAATTTTGATTGAGTTTCGTTTTCTCAGCTTTGCCATCATTTTTTTTAATGCAAAAGCTTAGATGATTATTCATCAATAAAAGTCTAGTTTTTTTTCATTTAATTTGTTTTTCCATTAATTAATGTTAATTTTTTTCTTTCATTTGATCCTTTAATTGGTTAATTTAAATAGTGTTTGAGTCACTCATGGTACTCAGCTGTTGACATGCAACTTTACTTTATATCTCCATTAATCTTGATACCTCTTTTCTGGTTTCCCTTTTGGGGAATCCTTTTAATTGTATTGCTTCTCACTGGATCAATGATTATCACCGCAACCTTAACAATAGTTAACCATTATCCACCGGTTCCTTACTTAACCAACATAACGTAAGTACCAGAAACGAGAGCAAAAAAGCGAAATGAAATTTTCCTTTTAACCAAATTAAACTCATTTCAACCTTTCACCCTTTATACAACAACAGCTCAAGAGAGGCTCTCGACGGTTACTATGGATGGATTTACATCAAACCATGGTGTCGAATCGGTCCTTACCTGATTGGAATCTCAATTGCTTACCTAATTTATCTGCACAACAACAAACCAAAGATAAAAAAGGTAAGAGAAGAAAAATGAACATTGAAACAAGAATATATATTTGTATAATATAAAAAACTGTGAACGACATTGAACTTACGTCGAAACAACAAACTCAGGTTAAAAGTTTCTTCAACTTTCAAGATTAATATCTCAATTCGTTGACATTTAATTTTCTCATGGCAATAGATAAATGATTCCAGACAAATTTCCGACATTTTCATCGTTGACTAGTCCACTCTTGATTAATGAGATAACATGAAAATGGTTTGGAAAATTGAAATAACCTAGAAATAGTTTGATATCTAAAAGGAAAATCATTGAGTAAAGAAGAAGAAATAAAATGAAAAAATAAAAATGAATTTAAAACCAACAAATCTGAAGATAAGGAAAAGTAATTGAAATTGAAAGTGAACACAAAACAAAATTGGTCAATAAATTAGGAAAGCAAAATAATGAATATTGAAAAGTCAAACCGTTAAACAGTATTAATTGTTCAATATTTAAACTTATTCAAGGTATCCACGGGTCAGGGTCAGTGTTATGAATCAATGAACAAAAATGTTATTAAACATGAAAAGTAGATTGCCGAGTTTTGCCCAAACAAACAAACAAACAACATTTTAATTTCAAGGAGACCGATTAAATTTATCTTGTCCATCACCTGTTAGTAAACAACATTTCAAGTTGAGGTGAAACCAGACAAGGCCCATCCACTGATGGTCCACTTATCCCTCCCTTGAATGTCTCTCAAATAAACTTTTAAACTTGAAATTGGCCCAAAAATGGCCTTACAAGTTGATTGGTCAGCCAATATTTCCATAATCATTTCATTGGATTCGATTTTTTATCCAATTTTTTCTTCTTCTCTCATCACTTTCTTTCTAGTTCAAGTTCAACCTTTTCAGTTAAACTTGTAAACAAGTTGTTTATTGTTGCCATTTCATTCAACTTCAAACCATGGTCATGAACAATCGGTAAACAAGTTTGACTGATGACTTTGTTTACCAGAAAATGAGCGACTCAAGTTTAGGGTTCCTAAAAGCACACTTACACAGAATCCAAAATCGTTTGCATGAAATTAAAAAGAAAAGTTGTGAACAGAAAATCAACAAAAACTGGTTTCAATTTTTCTTTTTCATTCTTTCTTGAACTGATGATCAACATGATTTACAATCAACTTTATTCCATGGAATGAATCTTTAAATTTTAATCTGAAAAGTAAAAAGAAACTCTCAATGAAAGTTTCGAGTTTACCATTCGTAAAGTTTATTTAGCCCAAATTTTCGCCTTTCAACATTTTGACTGATTTGCTTCGAACCTTTTAACTTGAAATTTTTACCAAAAACCCTGAATAAAAAATGAAAGCAAACAAAGTAACAAAAACTCGAAGAGTCATTGGCACCAATATTGTACAAGGTTAACATCTCACTCTCAATCAATAATACAACAGGATTCTCATGCCAAGAACATGTTCCTTCGAACACAATTAATGTAAACCAATCTTAAGCTGCATCACTTAATAAAAGCATCAATACGATTCCATTTCAATTTGCATCGCCTCAAGGCTCAGAGTTTCACATCAAATATAATGGTTAATCTCTTTCGTTGTAAACACTTCAAGTCATACGATTCATCTTAATCTTGTTCAGTCTCTCCACCTTCTTCCTTCTGCCTCCCTCTGATCTGGTTTGAGCAAAAGTAAAGTGAAAAAAATAACACAATTCACAGGTTAATTCACGATTCAATTAATTTTGTTTAATCACTCAACATCAGCTCATTAGTAGCCGACCTTGATTGCCGATTAATTAATCTTTACATAAGAATACATTGTTACAAAATTTATCCAAAATAAGAGGAAAGCAAATTAAGCTTCAAGAGTTTATTACCATTTCAATGAAACAATTTTGGGTCATTTTTCCTTTAAAATGTTAACATTTTTCTTCCTTTTCGTTAACTCAGAGATTCGTTGTTATGGGCTGGTTTTTGGCACTTTTACTCAATGCTGGCATCTTGTTGGCCATGTTTCCAGCCATCAATGGCTATCCTCTAAGTGACGCTGTTGCAGGCCTTTACAGTGCCACTTCTCGGACTCTTTGGTCAATCGGTTTAGCTTGGATTGTCTATGCCTGTGTCACTGGACACGGAGGAATAATCAATTCACTTTTATCATGGAAACCGTTTATTCCTCTGAGCAGATTGAGCTACTCGGCTTACCTCATTCATCCTGTAATTATTGCATGCTTTTATGGAAGTCGAGAGACTACTTTTCACTTTTCACACTATTTAATGGTTAGTATTGACTGATCTCATTTAAAATGAACAAAATTTATTGAAAATATTTCCTTTTTCTTCCCATTCTTTTTGCAGGTTTATTTCATTCTTGGCAACATTGTGATAACTTATGTCATTTCATTTGGTTTAGCCGTGTTTTTTGAAGCGCCAATTGCGGCTCTCGAGAAACTGTTTCGCCAACCAAAGTAAAGACATTTAGTTCAACTGTATCAACACTGCGATACTCAAGACACTTGAAACACTCATCAACGTAATCATCATCATAATCATAACCCAATTTAACACGTACAAAGAATTGAAGTAAATATCATTGATCAAGGTAATCTGATCAAATTTACTTTCAATCAATCGACAAACTTTTTTATTTCATTTCAATCTACAATGAAAAAAAATAACAAAAAACAACAAAAAATAATTAGGTTTTTTTCAATTCTCTGAACTTTTCTTTTCAAATTTTTCATTTTTCTTCTTTTCTTTCTTCAACAAAATGAACCAAGAAACACTATTTTTCACAATTATCTTTTTGATTAGGAAAATTATTTTAATTTTGATACAAATTTACAAATTTTTGTGCCAAATAATTAAGCCTTAATAAGCAAGCGCGTCAAGAGATGAAACCCAAAAATGTTGGCTCAACAAAACGCGATTTTCCAACCCAATTGATTAACTTATTTAACTTGTACTCAAAAGCCATCAACACTGTTCTATTAACCAAAGGAACACCAACTTTGATATTCAGCAAGCACCAACTGAATTGAATGGCGATTTTTCAAAAAAGTTCATCATTAAACTCAAAGTAAAACATCATGACTGCATTTTGTACCTTGTTTTTTGTATTCCGTTTTGAAAATCCTTTTCTTTTTTGATAATCTCAATGTAATACGAATTTTGATAATTTTCTCAATATTACGATAATAAAAATGATTTTTTCAATAAAATTTGAATCTCTTTCTCAATTGCTGTATTGACCAGAAAAAGGGTGAAACCTGAAGTTGAATAATGAAGGGATGGAAAATTGTTTGCTGTAACTGTAATGCTGGTTCAAATTTCGAAATTCATTATGTTTCATGATATCTTTTCATTATATAAATTGAGAAAATTTTTTACTCGAACGGCTTAATAATTTATTGTTGAACCATTTGGTTGAACCTTATTTGAGTCAAGTGCAAGTGATTGCTGCTCATTTGCACAAGACAGACTAATAAAGTTTTACTCATAAATTAACTCTATCATCCTGAAAACTTGCTGAAATCGCCTTAAACAATCAAATGATTAGTATTTTAGCAATATGATGATTAATTGGATGAAAAAAAGCTTTTACTTTTAACTTGATTATTCAAACCCGGAGCCATTTTTTGGGTAAACCTAATGAAACCTAATCGCGAGATTAGAGTTGAACATAGCTCCATCTATCAACAGTGGAGGTCAACAAATTTCAACAAACGCCTAGAAACAGTTGTTTAATCATTAACTTTTGCCTATTTAATTTTTTATGATTTCACCAGCAAATAATTAAATTTCATATTCATCTTGATCTAGTGTTCAATATAATCGAAAAAGGAACATGTTATGTCTCAACTGTTTCAGAAAAGGATTTCAACGGATTTTCATTGAACAATAACTTGTGGCCGATTGGAGTGAAGGAAATTGTTACAATAGTTACACGATTATCCCGCTTGGCCAAACAATATTTCTGTCTTGGGATCTGAAACCTCGCTTTCGTTATCTCCTTCATAGTATTTATACTTTTTACTATAACGTTGTAATCAATGCTCTCAAAAAATATTGTAAATGAATACGAGATGTTCAAAAGGGTAGGTTAAACTTTGTGGCTTTATATCTCGCGAAATAGACGCCAAATTGCGGTCATTTTATTTTAATTAGCTTAATCCCGAATTTTGAGGTGTCTAAATGACAGGGTATTCAGGAGTGACACAAAAACGCTTACCCAGCTCGAAAAAGCAGTTTATAATGGGATTATAACATTTCAATGGAAACTTGTCAAAAATTTAAAGCTTTATTTTTGAAAATCGTCTGACCGTGTTAATTGTAAAGGGGTGAGGGCATTTTGAGCACCTGTATTATTAATTCCTGGTAAATACAAGTTTTCAGATCAATTAATAAATCCGTTCTAAAGATATAGTCGTTTATTTTTTGACCCACCCGCTTGAACACCTTGTAGATGTTTCACGAGACTAAGAATAAATACTTATTTCATTTATCGAAGGTAACAGCTATTTTATTCGTTCACAAAACTTGATTTATGCATCACATCTTATCGATCGAAATTTCCTCGAATGGTATAAATTAAATGATAGAAAAACGATTTCGATGATATTCTCAACAAATCAATAGAGGAGGAAACTCTTCTTTGTCCATTTTTTCAGGTACCACTCCTTAGATTCATTTTAACTGAAAAACTACCGCGTAAATTCACTTTATATTCTGTACTGCAAATGAAAACGAGCAAAAATGAATAAGAAAAAATCTGAAAACGCTTTCAATCGTCAAGTACAAAAAAATAAACATTTCAGACAAAATAAACAGATTGCAAACAAGGAGGTTGAAGGGCAACGATTATGATGATCATGGGAATTGGTGACTGAAAAGCAACTCATAAAAAGAAGAAATTTGTAATTGAATCAGAAAATTTAGTAAAAAGGGAAATAAAATGGCTTGAATATTGAAAGGAACAAAGTAAAATTTTCTAATCTTTGTCATCCTCTAACAATGGTTCATCAAGTTGATGAAATTTTCCGAAATGTTTACCTTTAATCGGTCCCCGTCAAGCCCATTAACTTTAGTGAAAAAGTCAATGAACAGAAATTGATATTGATTAGTCGTGACTCTTGTCCTAATAATACCATTTCAAGCAAAGAGATCAAATAGGAACCAGAAAAACAAGAATCTCAATTCCGTGTTAATTACCATCCACTTGCAAGTTTTACAATTGACCAAGTCCCTGTTGGAGTTTTTATCATATGGACATTTTCAAGTAACAATATTCATTGAACGTACCAATATTGATAGTTTATCCGTTCAATAACATGATACTTAGCATGTTACCAGTCAATGAATATCATTTTGTTGAATTTCAACTAATGTTAACCAGAAATACTGAAATGGTGATAAATCAAACGGTAAATTAGTCAACAAGTTACTCATCTTGAATTCAATGGAAAAAATTATTGATATTCTTTATGTTGTCATGATGACTTATAATCATGATTATGATTGAAATGAAATTTCTAGTTGAACCTTTAAAGCAAGCAACAACAACATTATTCAAATCAACATTTTACCAGCTAATCAACAATTGTAATTTATTGTTAATCTATTCAACAAGTTAACAAGCCAAGGACAAAGCGAGTAACAAGAAAAGAGCAAACGAATAAATTGATCAACATTGAAATCAATTTGAATGATAAATGGTTGAACGACACGCTCATGATGGAAGACATTTAATGAAAATTCATTTATTAGGCCATTTTTCACATTGAAATGTATTTTCCCTTCAAACCAATCATTTTGATGGCAGTGCAAAGTTACACTTTTTAACCATCAAAACATAATTACTGTCAAAGTGAATCAAAACATTGTATTTTACAGGATCCATTTCAATCTATCAATTGTTCAATTATTTCCTCTGAGAATGCATTGTAATCCAGCAGAAAAAAAAGGTAAAGCAGATACATTTATTATGAAGAGAAAACTTTCATTCAAAATAATCACTCACATGGAACCCAAAGTGTTACAATAAATAATACAATTTTAAGAAAAGAAGAAAGCAAAAGAATAAGAATTCAAGGAAAAAATTCAACACAAGGAAATATCATGCATATTCTTGTTCCATTTCATTCATTGATTCCCTTTTTTCCCTGTTCAAACCGAATTTGAAAAAAAGGAGAAAAAAATCAGTGTGAAAATGTAAATCTAAATGAGAGAGAAATGACAAACAAACAAATGTTTGACAACACAGAAAATGGATTTAACCCAAAATAGACAGTAAATTGTGTCTCAATTTATATCATCATATGGTACACATTATAATGGGAAACGTAAAGGGGAAAAAAGGTTGAAAATGGAAGGTAATCATTTCAAGTAAACAGAAAAATATTGCCAGTTAAACCCGTGAATCTGAAAGATCCCAATGAAACTTGTCTACTTGCATCTAGAAGCTCAAGTTTACCCATTCTTTTTCAATAATCGGGTGAATCGGGAAACATTTTGGATCAAAGTTGAATCAAAAGTGAAACAATCACAAGACTGAAGGCAAAATCAACAGAACCACCAAGAAAAAGAGTCACAAAAAATGCTTTCCAAGTTGATGGTTAACTTGAATTGGTCTTATTTCTACTTTTACCCCAACAATGATCAATCAAGTTGACAGTTATAACCATTTCTTTGGGTTTATTTTGTGTTCAACTTTTGCTTCTTTTTTTATATTATTTCTCCTTTCCTTTCTGATTATCTGTTTTATATTATAACATTATTATTACCATTATTATTATTATTATCATAATCATCAACATGATGATTATTATGATTATTATTATGTTTATTACAATACATTTTTGTTTGGAGAAGAGGCAAGAAAAAAAGCATTTCTCAAAACCTGCAAGTTCAATTTATTCCCTGACATCTTCATTATGATTGTGCAGTTTTGTTTCACATTATATTTGATCTCATCTTATTAACACAGACCCGAGACAAGACAAGCCTCAGTGTAATGTTCATTGATAATGATTAATATCACTTCATCTTAATCATAATCATCTTTGCCTCAACATACTTTTCTGCATCAACTTTCAACCTGCTCAAGCTTTTTCTATTATTAAAACAAACTAATCAAACAACGGCAAAAAAGCAGCTTTAACAATTGTTTTAACCTCTTCTTCCTGTGACTTTATTTTCATTTCAACGCTTCGAGTAATCAATTATCTGTTTACATTGAAACTTGTCATTTTTGTCCCATTCAAATATCAACGTATTTACATGCAAAAATGGCATCTGTTTTAATAACACTTTGTTGTGGTAAATACCAAAGGTTGTTGACGTAAACCGAAATACTCACACAAATAAAACTTTTGTTTATTTTTCGAGAAAAAAACTTGATTCTTAATCGTTGAAGAGTTTGCCTTTCTTTCAGTAAATGATTGATCTTTTATAAGCAGCTAATGATTTTTATTTCGAGGAATATATCTCCTTAAGTGAACCTTTCAATCGCCGATAACAAAGCGCATGTTATGCAACTTCATTTTAGTTCCAAGTCTAGGAACAGCGCTCGCTACCAAACTTGCATGTAAACACTTCGAAAGCATGAGAATTTCAGTCAAGTGACAATCAGAAAGGAGGAAAGGATCTTTCCCGAACAAAAAATGAACAAAAATGAATCAAACTTAGACACTTTATTAAAGTGAGGTATCTAAACTATGTAAAGACGACACTGAAATCAATGGGTGACTCAATAAACATACCAAACCCCGGGACATTTTGATACCCCTAATACAAACATAAAACATTTCTGTTATGAGACTAAACAATGTTCCGGTGCTATATTGTCAAAGTGAGCGTACAACTGAGCAAATAAGTAGAGTCAAAATGAGTATAAAAGAATAATCATTTAATAGTATAATCATTTCATATTGAAAGTTTCAAGTTTGGGATTGAACCGAATTTCTTTATAAATTTGCTTGTTAAAACTGTATTTAATCATCATGCGGTTAACTAAAATTGTATTCACTGTATTTTTTATAGTTTTTGGAATTGATGTTAAAACCCATGGTTCTTTAGGTAATTCAGCTGATACATCCCACGCTGTAGCACCCGCATTTGCTAATGTGATGGGATGATCCAGTTATCTTTCGTACCTACGTCAGAAAAGACAATTTATAGCTTTTGTTGATTGATTGCGA